TTTTTTTATAATTATAAATTTGTTTTTTATGATAAAATAAAATAATTATTTCAATTAAATTTTTTATAAATTCACTTTTTTAATTATGTTTGGTTTATAAATTGATTAATTTTTATTTAAAGTTTAATTAAAAAATTATCTATTCATTAACATGGTGATATAAATTCTTTAAAACTATTTTTACTTGTTTATAAATTAGTTTAAACTTTCAATAAATTTAAAATTATAATTTATATTTCTTTAATTTATATTAAGTAAATGTTTTAATATTATAATCATTAAAATATAAATAATCAATGAATGTAAATGTAGTTATTAGAATATTATTAAACTTTAATTAATTATTCTTAATAATATTGTTTTTAAATTAAAAAAATATTTTTAGTTAAAGATAATAGGTTTATTAAATTTTATTGATTCTTTCTTTATTATATTAAAGTTCAATTTAAAAATTACAATTCTTTATAAATTTTTTAAATTTATACTTTATTAACAAGAATATTTATAATCTAATTAGATTTTATAAGTAAATTTTTTAAAGTATAAAATTACTTGAAATTTATTCAAAATTAAGGATACAATCTACTAGGATCTCTTGGGAATAACGAAAAAGGCCTGATATCATTTGTTTCAAATAAACATTTACAGAACCTTTCAAGACCAATCCCAACACCACCATGTGGCGGAACAGCAAATTTAAACATTTTTAAATAAAAATCTAATCCATCAACATTAACACCCTTTTCAGCAATAGCATTTTTTAAAGATTCAAAATCAGTTTCTCTCTGTGCACCCGACAAGATCTCTTCGCCTCGGAGCAAAAAGTCATATGATCTTGTCTTATTAGTGCCTTTGCAAACTTGAGTATAAAAAGCTCTCTGACTCTTTGGATAGTCTTTAATTACAAATAAATCAACATTGTGTAACTTTTTGATGTGAGCACCTAAAGCTTTTTCTTGCTCTCTATTAAAATCATCTTCATAATCAATTTCATATCCTTGTGCCTTTAAAATATCTACTCCCTCTGAATGATCAATAATAACAGGTTCAGTACTAAGTTCAACATCTTTAAAATCTGTATATTCTCTTACTATTTCAAGTTCCCTTGAATAATGTTCCTTTAAGTATTTTATCACATGTAAAATTACTTTGTGAACAAATCTTATAACATCCATATAATCATTCTCAATTTCCATCTCAATATCCACCTGTGTAAACTCACTCAAATATCTATTGACATTCTGTACTTCGGCTCTATATGCATATCCAATCTCAAATACTCTCTTCATTCCTCCAGCAATACAACTCTGTTTGTATAACTGTGAACTCTGAGCAAGAAAAGCTTTTTTACCAAAATAATCTATTGAAAACAGATTAGCACCTCCTTCTGATCCACTTTGAATTATCTTAGTTGTTCTAATTTCTGTAAAATCTTCTGATTTCAAATATGTTCTAAATCCACTCATTACACCATCCAATAATTTAACAAATGCGTATGTTGTAGGAACTCGAAAATCTAAAAATCTATTGTCAAGTCTCACGTTATAACTTACATTAGCTCTGTCTGTGCCTTTCGATGAAGCATCTTTTATTGAAAAAGGTAATTGTGCAGATATGCTAGAAACAACCTCTAAAGTTTCTACTCTAATTTCCCTGTTCTTAATTGTACAGCTCTTTATTTCTGTTTTAACTTCCACTGCTTTACCTGTAACTTTTACAAACGATTCTAATGGAATTTTGTTGATTGAATCAAAGTCGTTAACTTGCTTCCTAAGAACAACACATTGAACTTTTTCAAGTCTATCACGTAATATAACAAATATCATATTCTTACTAAAAGTTTTAATAGTATCAATAAATCCTCTTACAATAACACTTTCATCATTTATTTTAAGTGTAAGTTTATTAAACTCTGTTATTAGCTCATTTTTACTTTCTATCATTTTAAGGGTTTAAATTTTTAATAAAATTTATTCAGACTGTTTTTATTTAAAAAATATGTATAAATTTTATCCTGTGTTTTTTAGTGCTTTTCTATTAAAAACATTATAATGAATTAATGAAATTACTTTTATAATTTACAAAAATAATACCCGATTTAGGAATCGAACCTAAATCAATTGCACCCTAAGCAACCATCATACCATTAGACCAAACGGGCTCAATAATAAAAATATTATAGATTATAAATTATTTTCTATAAACAATAATTTTCAATATTTTATAAAACTGATTTTAAACAAATTAATTATTTGATATTGACATCAACTTTAATTTCTATTTGAATTTTTTTAAATGATATTCAATGTTTATAATATAAATTATATCTTGTTCCAAGTCTTTTCTGATTCTGTACCTGCCATATTAAATATCATCTGATTATTGTTTTTGTGTTATCTGTATATCTCTTTTGAAATATTTTGATTATTTCATTAATTTATTTATATATTAAGGGTTCTTAATAATTTTTTTTAATGTTTATCATTCAATCATAAACGTAATTACGTTAACAGATATTTCTATTAATAATAATTAATTAAATAAGATTTAAAATAAGATTTTTTGTATTTAATACAATTTCATTTGATATGTTTTTATTTATAGATGTTCTATACACAAGTGGTGTATAAATATAATTTAAAAACTTTTTTAGCAATTTAGTTCTTAAATTTCACAGATATTCTTTTTTTCTAATAAATAACATCGATATAATATTATTATAACTTTAAATGTTATTTAATTGTAATTTATTACAATCTCAGATTCTTTATAACTCATATTCGATTAATAAATTTTTTATGAAAGTTTATAGATATAAAAATTTCTTTAATTAATTTCTTAAAAAATTTTAAAGATCTATTTACAGAATAAATAGATTTAAATCTAATTAATTAGTGGAAGCAAAAAAGTTAGCATGATATTGTTTAAATAATCAATTAATATATAAAATATACATCAAAGTTGCTATTTTAATTTATAAATAATGAATAAATTATGGTAAAAAATTCTAAATTACTCATTAATATTTATAAATCTATCTATATTGATAAAAAACATTTTTAAACAAAAAACATTGTATTGTCGTAACCTCAACATTACAACCATTAGAAAATTAATCTCTTAGAAAGAAATTTTAATTATAAATTTTAATAAAAATTTTTACTCATCGAAAATATGAGTAGAGAGACAGACAAGACAAATAATAAAATACAAATTAATAACTATAATGTCTTCGTATCCTTCAAAATGAGTAAATTGTTTATTTGAGTAACAAAGCAATTTAAAGGAATTATGATTGATTTGACAGGTGAAATATAGAAATTAAATACAGGATGAGTGAAGAGTATTTAAGTAAGAAAGAAATGATATTAGAGATGAGTTAAATATAGAGAGTAGCTTTCACGCAGGGAATAAGAAAGACACTTGTGAATCAATGGAAAGACTTAATAAACTTTATTCTAATCACTCCTTAGGTTTCAGCAATGCAGATGACATGTATAATTATAAATCAAGTTTAAATGAATATTAAATGTTAAAACTGAATTAAAAATAAAATAAATCACTTGTTTATTTGATAATAACATGATTTTTTTACAGTGTGATGGTTTACAACTAAAAATCTGTCAAAATAAATGAATGATTTATGTTGAGTTCTAATTTTATTTTATTTTAAAAAAATATTTTAAAAATATTTTTTTAAAAATCTAATTAACAAAAAAGAGAGATAAATATAAAGATGCAAGTCCAAATAAATTTATTAAATAAAGTTTCAAAACAGTTAATATTGATAAAAATCGTTTTTAAAATAACAAAATTTTTTTCAAAATTGATATATTTTTTAGTGATTAAAGATTTTATTTTAAAAAAATAAATTGCAGCCCCTCATGTTCATAAATAAAAAAAATAAAGTTGATCAAAACACATTATTTAACAATTACTTCAATGGAGCAGTAAACAGAATGCTTAATACAGTAAATAATTTAACTAAGCCCAGAAAAGAACAAAATTCCAATTTTTACAGCAGTCTTGTAAACAATGCACTTATTCGTATTACATCTAACTGTACTTGTAATATAGGAATTAAACGAGATGTTAAATTCTACATACTTATAATGTGTGGCATAGTATTAAGCAACATAAAAATAAGAATTATAGATAATGAACTTGATGTCATAATTGATCAAATAAAGATAGTAGAATATTTAGATACATTTCTTAGTGAAAACATTTTAGGTGATGGAAGATTACGAGATCTACACAAACTTCTTACAAATACATCTTTAAAAAGTCTTTCAATTTTCTTTCTTATTTTAATGACAGAATGTACATTCATTACACTTCTCACAGATCTTAAAAATCACCAATAAATTATATTTTTGCTTAAATAATTAATTTCTAATTCTAGTAAGTACATTCAAACTGAAAATAACTTAAATTGTTTAATTTTATTAAAAAATTTTATGATTGAAAAATACACAATAAAAGATAAAATTGAAATTTTTAAAACTGTTTATATCAGAGATAAGAATGTACAAAACACTAAGTTTGACAAATTTGTTTATTTTAACAATTATTATATTTTCTGTGAGGGGAACAAGTTGTTTAATAACAATAAAACAATTAAATTTAACACAGACATAACATGTATAGTTAAAGTAGATAATTTATTGTTTGTGGGATTGTCATCTGGTGATATAACTATATATAATGAGAATATGAAGTGTATTTCTAAATATTTTAATATAAAATCTAAAATAACTGGCTTTGCTAAGGTTAGTTCTACTGAAATTAAAAAAATTGATGATTCAAAGAACTTAGTTGGTTTAATGAACAATAAGGATTATTACCTCGTTAGTTCTGAAAACAATTGTTTATATGTTCTAGATTTAAGTGAAACAAACATTACAATATGTATAAAAACTAGTAATGGTATTAGAAAAGTAAAAAAAGCAAATAATATTCTTTACCTAATTTGTAAAGAAAAAATTTTTAAATACGGAACAAACTTTTTAGATACACACGATGTCATTGCAACCGATGCAAATACTTTTAATGATTTTATATTAAGCTATGAAAAAAATTCATTCACTTTAACTAATGGTGATGTTAGCTTATCTAAAGTAGCACATCATAAAAGAATAACGACTATTGAGTCGTTTAATAATGTAATTTATACTATAAGTACGGATGGGTGTATTAAATCATGGACTGTAAAGGACAGTCAAATAATTCTCTTAAACCTTATTTATCTTAAGGAATCATTTTTAAATATTTATATAGAAGATCATAGAATCGTATTAGGTAGTGCAGATGGTAAAGTATATGAAAAAAGAATTACTAATCAAATAACAGAGAATGATTTAAAAAGAGTTAATTTTAACTATAAAGAAATTTTTAGTGCTAATATAGACAATGTTGATAATTTATACTTTTTATTGAGATATCTTAAGGATAATAAAAAATTAAAGAGACTGCTTAAAGATATGGATGTAGATAGTCTTACTGAATTTGTACATTTTTGTGTTGATTATTTTTATTATAAAGAGTTAAGAAGTATAATTATTGAGTGTGTTGTTATAATAATTTCTATGTATGAAATTGAATTATTACATAATGAGGAATTACTATCGTTGTTAGAAGAAAAAGTTTTAGAAGAAATATATTTTGAAGAAGCATGTCTTTTATCACTCGGATTTATTAATTAAATTTATTTGTTTATTTAGGAAATAAATGAAGTACATTTTGATTAGTACTCTTATAATTAGCTTATTAAGTTTATTATTCAGCCCAGTTAACTTACTTGCATATATAGGTATGTTCCTTTGTTTTACACTATCGGCATTAGGAACAGCAAGGGGTATCTTATCTATATCAAAATATGTAAGTGGTGCATCAATATTAGCGCCCCATGTGGGCACGAAATCAATTCTAGGCACAGTGGTATGTGAGGCAAATTTTTTAACGGGTATTATCACCTGTGTAATGATTAACAATACTTTAAACTTAAATATTGATAAAGAACTAAGTGACAAGGCTCATTATATTTATTTTTCTTCAGGTTTATTTGTTGGGATTTGTAATTATTACTCTTCAGAAGCTACTGGTTTAATCTGTGCAGTTATAAGTATGATGGATGCTAAAGATCCTTCATTATTTTATAAGATTGTTATTCTGGAAATTATACCAGCAAGCATTGGTTTGATAGGTTTTATCATGGGAATTGTTTTAAACAGTAAAGCACCTTTCTTTGATTTAGAAAATTAAACTTTTAAAAAAATTTATCTTTTTTAGTTTAATGAAATTAATAGCACTGACGCTGACACTTATTATTCTAATTGCAATCTATAATCAGATGACAATTGGTAAAATGATGATAAAAGGAAAAAAGGTATTAGTACTAGGAGGAACTAAAGGAATTGGAGCAGAACTAGCAAGGTTTTTATCTACTGAAAATGATGTCACAATTGCAGCAAGAAACTTTAATAAGAATCTTAAGTATAAATTTATTAATGTGGATATTAATAAACCAGATACATTAAATAGACTGGACGATAACTATGATTATGTTTTTTGTTGTCCGGGTTATTGTAAAACAGGATACTTTGAATCTCTGACAGCTGCAGAGTTTTACAAGTCAATTAATATCAACTACATAGGAATGGTAAATGTAATTAGATATTTTCTCGCAAAGTCAGACTCAAAATGTACCTTTATTTTATTCTCATCAACAACAGCATACTACCCTTTATGTGGTTATGACTCCTACACCCCTTCGAAATCAGCTTTAAATTCACTGTTTTACATTCTAGATCAGGAATATCATTCTAACGACAAAATTCATTTCAAATTATTCAATTCGGGAAATATGAAATCAAAATCATATGAACAAGAAAATTTAACAAAGCCTGTATTTACTAAAAATGTAGAATGTATTTCTAGTTGTTCGACACCAGAACATTCTGCTAAATATCTTCTTAAACACATAAATGATAGAAAAGTTATCTCTTATGATTGGTTTTCGTACTTTTTAGCCATAAAAAATGAATGCGAACTTTTAATAGACTACGTTCTATTTCCCATAGCCATCTTAGTTGTGTTCTGTGTAAAGTTAAGAACAAAAAGATTGATGAAATTTATAAAATAAATTTTATCTTTAAAAAATGATCTAAATACCTTTTAAATACTAAATTACACTTAAAAAAATAATTTGATTGGTCGGATTTTTTATTAGTTTATATTGTGTTTTATGTTTGTTTATTGTTTTATAAAATACTAATTTTTTAGCCCTAAATATTAGAGATGAAAAGGAGAGATCATGAAAACGAATATGTTTATGATTCAGACGATAAAAAGTATCTAAATAGTTTATCAAACTTGGAAAGAGAGAAAGAATTGTCTAGAAGAGCTGAGAGAAGACAGAAAGCATTAGAAATGGAAAAGCTCAAGAAACTTAATGCAGAAAATCACATTCCAGAATCAGAAAAAGAAGCTCCAACAGGACCAAAATATCAATGTATTGTACCTAAAAAGGAATTTGTGTTGAAGAGATCAGATTTAATTGAACATGCATTCATTCCAAGTTTCCATCTAATTAAAGGAGCTTATGTGAAACTGAGAGTAGGAGATGTTTATGACATCTGTAAGATTGTCAAAATTGGGACCATTAAGAAGTATAAAGTTGAAATTAATGAGAGGATGCGTTTTATTGATAGAGCTTTGAATCTTGAAGGAGAAAAATTCTATAAAGATGTTCCCCTAATCAATTTGTCAGAAAGGCCTACCTCTAGTCAAGAGTTTGAGGATTTTGTTTGCAAGAATAAAGTATCTCAGGAGAAGTTCAATCAGATTGAAAAGAAATACACATTAATTAAGAGAGAATTTGATAGATCACCAACAGAAGCTGAGATTACACAGACAATTAAGAATAGAGAGAAGTTGAATCCAAGAAAAAAGACTAATACAGAGATTAAGATAGAGATTGTTAGAAATAGAGAGGCTGCTTATGCTAGAAAAGACATAAAACAAGCACAAATGTATCAATTGAAATTAGAAGAGATTGAAGACAAAGAAGCATATGATAGAATTGTAGATGTTTTTCCAGCAGACCAGGTAGAAAAAAGATGGGAGGAGAGACAGAGTTATATGAAGGGAATAACCTTTAAAGATGATAGTATTAGGATTAAAAGAGCTATGACTTCATTTTGTAATAAAAATTCTGTTAAAGAAAAAGAAGAAAAAGAGGAAGAGAAACCAAAATTAAAATCCTTACCAGCTAGAGTTAAAAATAGTTCTATTAAACGTCCTTATAAGAAGCACTATACAGCTCAAGAAATTGAAAAGGAAATTGATGAATTAGTTAGTAAAATTGATGATTTGAAGAAGAAAAAAGTTTAGATAAATTGATGAGGTAAGTGTTATTTTGTACTTTTTATTCTTAAGACCCATCAATTTTATGATCAAAAAAATAAAAATGATCACGAAGGATAAAACAGTGTTACCGGTTGGATATAAAAGTTTTAATAAATTTAGAATGATTTGCAAGATGATAGAATTACATCCACTAGATCAAAATTATGAGTTTGAAATACCGTTTGACTCTAAGATATTATTACAAGTTTGTGACTTTGCAGCTAACGATAATGTAAAGTTGGTTAAAAATTACAACCCAATCAACATTCATTTCAAAAATGATGTTGTTCAAAAACTAGAAAATCACTCATTTGAAACACTAGTTTCTATACTAAGCCTTGCAATGTATTTGGATTATCCTTTTCTTTCAGAACTTATAGGGAAGTTAATTTCAATAAAATTGTCTCCTTTACCTAAAACTGATTTACTTAAATATACCCAATTTAATGCAGAGAAGTGTGATAATGAAGAATAAAATAATTTTTAATCTAAATTTTATTTAACGGTAAGATTTCTGGTATCTTGCTCTGGCACCTGGTCCACCGAATTTCTTAGGTTCTTTGACTCTCATATCAGTAACTACTGTTGTACGGTCAAAATCATAGAAAATCTTTTTTAATTCTTGTTTCTTAAATTCATCAAAAGATCCGTAATAAGCTAATATTGCTCTACAGAATGCTTGTCTTGCTGCATAAATTTTTGCAGTAAATCCTTCTTTCTTACTGGTTGTGATGTTAAAATCAAGACCTTTAACAACCTCATTTCCTAATAAACCGATTATTTCATCAAATTTACCCTTCATTAAATTATCCGTGACTTTTGCCAGCGGAACTTTGTTAATTCTCACCTCAAAGTTTCCAGTATTTATACACTCACAATTTGCTTCACTTGTTTTTTTACTTCCTCTGGTTATTAAAGCTGATGCCATATGGGTTAAAAAATTTTTAAAAAATTTCAATAAAAGTTTTTGTAAATTATTTTTAACCCATAAATGAAGAGAAACAACGCAGTCCCAAAGAATCATTTCCAAAAAACTTCTAAAGTTATTAAAACAAGATTCAATCAGCCAACTAAAGCTATTAAAAGAAGGGAAGTCAGGGAAGAGAAAATGGTAAAATTAGCAGTTACCCCATTGACAAAACTAAGACCAGTGGTTAGATGCCCAACTATTCGTTATAACAGAAAAGTCAGACTTGGAAGAGGATTTACACCAGAAGAATGTAATTCAGCGGGTATTCATTATCTGGAAGCTAGAACTCTTGGAATTAGTGTTGATTTACGAAGAAAGAATCAAAATGAAGAAGCTTTTGATAGAAATGTTGAACGTATCAAAGAGTATCTTAGTAAGGTAACAGTTTACAAGAATAAAACTGAAGCTATTGCTTCTGGAGCATATCAACACCATGGTGTGATTATGCCAGTCTTTAATGAAAAGAAGGTTAAATTAATTTCAACCGGTGAAGTACAAAATGAGCAATAAAATTTGTTTAAAAAATTTATTAAATATTAACAGTATTAGGATTTTGCTGTTCATAAAATCTTTTTATAATTTCTATACATCTTTCATCATAAATACACTCTCCAAAGGTATTACCTGTTATTTTTAAATTTCCAAAAATATCGTTATAAACACCAAAAAAGAGTTTTAAATTACACTTAATGAAACGTTCTTTAAAATCAGTTATAATTCGACAACACATAGTGCAAGGTTCTAATGTAATAAACATAATTATGTCATTTGTATTTGACATGTGAAATCTTTGATATTCTCTTATAGCATCTAATTCACAGTGTTTTAGTGGATCACATGATTTATTTGTTGTGTTATGTGTTTTAATGATAATATTTCCAAATTTCATAACACAACTGACTGGAACTTCCCCTTCTAGTAAGGCAATTTCTGCCTCATTTAAAGCAGTTTCAATAACTAGATTGATGTAATTATTTCTCATAAAATTAATTTTCGAATATATTAAAATTAGTTTTTTATTAAATTTTTAGCCCTAAAAATTCAGATGAATCAAATAAGTTTAAAGATTGACAGAGAATTATTTACAGAGAGAGCCAAAAGAATATATGAGGCAGTTAAGAAACCTGTACTGTTAATGTTGGGTAAGAGGTCTGATATAAAGACCTTTGGAAGAAATTCAGCAGGTTTTAATTACCTCATGGGAGTTGAACTCACTGAGACATGTATTTTGATAAGAGAAACCAAGCCTTTGATTTTTACGTCAGTCAAAAAGCAATCTATTCTTCAGCAATTGGGAGACAAGGTAGAGACATCATTTTTTAACAAGGATGCTGGTTCTTCTTTATTAAATTGCGTTAATTTCTTAACTGAAGAGTATGGTGTTATTGGTGTAGATGAACCTATTGGTCAGTTGTGTGAAGAATTGCTTAGTAGAATTAAGTATGTTAAGGTTGATGAAAGCATTTTGAGATTGTTTAGAATGAAAGATAAAGTTGAGCAAGATAATTTAAGAAAAGCTGGTATAATAGCTAATAATATCATGCCTAAAATCATTGATTTGATTAGAGATGAAGAGGGTACTAAAGAAAATTTTGAAAGAGTGCTTTACAGCAAAATGCCAGGTGTTGAGACATCATTAGCTGAGTTCATGTATGATCCTGTTTTTACTTCAAATTCTGTTAAATTTGGTCTCAGATACAATGGTTATTGTATTGAGGCAGGAAGGAAGTTTTTAGGAGACTATACTGAAGAGTATGAAATTCTAAATTATATTTTAGATTTGATTAAACCACAGACTGATTCCAAATACATTGTAGAAGAAGTAGAGGCATATTGTAATTCACTTGGATACAAACATGATGTTTTTATTTACACATTAGGATTGTTAGAAAAGGAAAATGATTTTGCTGAAGAATTTATTCTTGAGAAAGGCACTTCTTTTGTAATATCAATTGATGGCTGCTTCACAAATACTTTTATCTTAGAAGATAAGCCTATTTTTGTTACAAAAAGAGACTTCAAAGAAGACTATCTTCCTGAGAGGATGAGATTCAGAAATAAAGATATGGCCTATGAACGTAAGCTTAAATTAAATGATCATCAAAAAGAACTTATTAATAAGCTTATTGATGACATGTTAAAATACCATACATTAAACAAAACTGAAAAGGTAGAGACTGGTGCTCAATCAAAAGTAAAAATCACTAAATATGAAAATGATGCAAATATTCCACGTTCAAACAAAATTCATTTAGATCAAGACAATCAGTATGTAATGATACCAATTGGTTCATTTAGTGTGCCAATACATATCTCATTGATAAAGAATGTAGCAGTATCATCAGTACCAGAAGGAAGTAAATTAAGGATTAATTTTAAGGATTCTAAAGACATAAGAGAGTATCTTGGATATGGCATGTTTGATTCCTTTTTAAAGTCTGTGTCAATTTTAACTAATAATTCTGAGAGTGTTCAGATGGGTATTAATCAAATGAAAAGACTTTATAATAAACCTGAATTAAATGTTAAACAAACAGGTAAATTGATTGAAAAGAAGAGGTATGTTTGGAGTGATTTACAGATTAAGGTTGATCAAAAATCAGGGTTAAAGAAAGTTATTGCTGACCTTGAACTACATGAGAATGGATTCAAATACCAAGACATTTATTTCTTGTTTTCAGACATCAGAAAAGTTTTTTATCAATTTAGTGATTTTGAAAAGCTTGCTTTAGTACATTTCAATTTGAAAGAACCAATTTCAGTAAATGGTAAGGCGACCTATAATTTACAATTCCATAGAAAACCACACAATTTCTATCATGATACCACAAAGAGAGAAAATGAGCATCTTGAATTTCTTAAAGAACAAGAGGAGGAAGATAGATTATTCCGTTTAAATAAGGAAATTAGTAATTTTGTGGAAAAACTTGAAAGTGAAACTTCTCTTAAACCACAATTATTAGAAAATTCTTTTACAGGATCACACCATAAAGAAAATGTATCAATTTACATCACTAATGATTGTTTAGTTTCACTTGATGAACATCCATTCTTTGTACTTTATTTAAATGAAGTAGAGATAATTAACTTTGAAAGAATTTCATTCTCCACTAAGACATTTGATTGTATATTTGTTATGAAAGATAAGACTAAACCTGTGAAAATTGTTTCATCAATTGACCTGTCACATCACAATCATCTTAAATTAGTATTTGATAGTATGAACTTAGTATTTATGGAGACTGTTGTTAGTATTAACTGGAAAGCTTTACTTGGTTCAATTATGGAGGATCCTATTGGTTTCTATGAAAATGGAGGTTGGGCTGAGTTGATGGTTGACAATGAAGACGAGGAGAATGAAGAGGATATATCTGATGAAGAATCTTCAATGTCTACATCTAGTGAAGATGAATTAGAAGATACGACAGTTGAATCTGATGATAGTGATATGAGTAATGAGAGTTCATCAGCGTTAAGTGATTCAGATTATAACAGTTCATCTGCAGATAACTTCTCCAGTAGTGTTGATAATGCAAGACACTCTAAACATTTTAAAATGTAATTAAACTTTATTAAAGATTTATACTTTTAGAACTTTTTAAGTAAAATATCTCACAATATCACTAGCAATTTGTCTCGCACCATAATCAAGTTTATGTGTTATTAAAAGCATTATAATTTCTTTTTTAATAAACTCTTCACCTTTTAGTTGTATAGTTTGTATTAATTCAAAAACACTGTGATACTTCTCAACAATTAACTTTGCTTTTTCTCTTGTACACCTTTTTATTGATGATAAAGCTTCTATAAAAATAGAATTAACAGTTAATGTTCTATTTTTATCACCTTCTTCTAAAAATGAACCATATCCACATAGTTCCTCAGTCTCTTCTTCATTCTCTTTAATATACGTGTTAAGCTTTGAAATGAACTGAGCTGTTTCAATGGTATTTTTAGTTTCGATTACAGTTACATTCTTTTGTATTTTAAGACCGGTAAGTGACTTTTTAACAAGCTTATTTAAATTATCATTTCTTTTAGTCAGATTTTCTATCAAATAAAATATTTGAAAGTCAAAAACTTTTAGTCTTTTTAATTGATCTAAATATCTCCCATCAGTAACAGATAGTCTAAAATCTTCATTTGCTTTTCTTTCTATTATAAAATTTAATACCCTCTCATTTTTAATCCACACAAAATCACCAACCTCTAACATCCTGGTTTCCACATTTTTAATATTTGCTGTATTCATAAAATAATGCTGAAAGTAAATTCTGTTTCTATTATTTTTCTTTTCTCTTGAATCGATTACCAGTGTTAGTTCATTGTTATTAGTTTCAATTTCCTTTTTAACACCTCGAAATAATTTTTCACATAACTCTGTTCCTTCAGTCGTCAGATAATATTTATTTTCAACGAGTGTTATTAAATTTCTTTTTATCAAAACCTTATCATTTTTGCCAACATCCATTCCAAGCCACTTTGAAACTTTTGAATATAAAATATACTTATGAATCCCTTCATTATTACTGTAAAAGTATAATCCTTTTAAAATACAATAAGGTACTGTATTTAATTGAGGCACATAACTTCTCTTTCGAGTTATCTTTGTTTTCTCATTTTTAATATCTAATTTATATTCGTTTTTAAGAACCGTGCTTTTATCTATAAACGTATTTTGTGACATTCTGTTATTCTCTTCAATTGTTATCTTATTAATTTCATTTAAATCATTTTTAAAATCAGTTGAGTCAAAAAAATCAAGAATACCATTTGTTTCTACCCTATCGACTGAAATAATAAAATCCATCTCTTCTATTATATCATGCCTTTCTTTAACAATATTATCTAATGAATTGTTATTTTCTACTAAAACACTGTCTGTTTCTATTATAATATCATCAGATTGTTTTTCATCAACTATTAAATCTTTATTTTCTGGTAAATTTTTTGGTTTCTTTATTCCGTATTTTATTTCTAAATCACTTAAATTACTTGATAAATGATTTAATTCATATTTGATTTCTGCTAATTCTTCATCCAATTTAGTTGTGTTATTTGATTTGTCAATAACAATTTTTTCTTCTACAATTTTTCCTTTTCCTTTTTCCATTGTATATTTTATCTCACTAAATATTTTATCACCCACATATTTCATATTCTTTAATTCTTCAAAATTATGAATCACTGTTGATTTTAAAGCCTTTGATAGTTTACTATAAGTAAATAGTCTTAAACTTCTTCTAGATCTTGTTTTACTAACTAACATGTTTACTGCTGCTACTACTGATTCATGAAATGTTCTATCAGGCATTTTAAGGGTAATTTAAAATTGAATTTATTCAAATCATTGTAAAGATAGATGGTGTCTTTTCTCTTGATGCTTTGGCTATTTGAATTAAATCAATATATGTTGATGAATCTATCTGTTGATCTTTTTTTAGTGTTAACGGACTTAAAAATTCAAATAAATCACCTGAGATGTATTTTAAAAAGACATCAAATCCTCCTTCAATTGAACTTCCAAGTATGTTATAGAACTCTTTGGTGTTTTTTGATCCAAATACTGATAATTTATTCTTAATACTCTTTTCTAGCCTATTGCTATCTACAACAAATTTGTTTTTAGCCGACATAAACATGTAAGTGTCTTTGTCGTTTTTAATAAAGAATAATGATTTAGGATCATTTTGCCACATCTCACCATCTACATTGATATTATTTTTAGTGAGAAGTTCTTTAATTTCAATTCTATTCTTATTTAATAAATACTTTTCTGTATGCCAGAAATAGACTAAATGTTTTAATATTGGTGTATTTAAATAGGCACATATAAAAAATGAAGCTCCTATAATAAATTGAATAATATTTAGACTGTAAAGTATCTTTTCTGGTTTATTTAATTTCATTTTATTGGGGTTGTATAAAAATTCTTTTTATAATTATATAATTAATTTTTTAATTTCTATTATTAAATTTTTATTTTTTAATTAAACAATAATTATTATACTAATTAATTGATATTTTTTTATTAGAAAAATTCTATAAATATTTATTTTTTAATTTTACTAATAATATTTATTATACTTTAAACAAAAAATTAAAATAGAATAAATGATACATAAAAATCTATTAAAAATAGGAAATTTACTTACAATCCGTAAAAAAAATAATTTTTATTAAACATTTTTTATAAAAAATTTTTAACCCCAATTTTTTATGAATAAACCAAGAAGAAAAAATGTTAATAATGAGAAAGAATTCATACCACAAACTGAATTGGGATATTTAGTTAAAAAAGGCTTCATTAAATCAATTGATGAGATTTTTGATCACTCACTCAGTATAAAAGAATATCAGATTGTTGATACTTTGATGGGATTTAAGAAGTTGAAAGAAGAAGTTTTAGATGTTTCAGATGTTCAGAAACAGTGTAAAGCTGGACAAATTAGTTCTAAGAAAGCTGTAGTTGTTGTTGGTAACGAAGATGGATACATTGGTGTTGGTACTGCTTCAGCTAAAGAATTTGCAGATGCTGTCAGAAAAGCTGCTGTTAAAGCAAAATTGAACCTATTTCGTGTTAGAAGAGGACAATGGCAAGGAGAAGGTCAATCTGTTCATACAATTGCTGCTAGTGGATCTGGTAAGTCTGGTGCTAAAACTATTAAGATTATACCTGCACCAATTGGAACAGGTAATAATTATGGACGTATTCCTAGTACGATATTCAAGTTAGCTGGAATTAAAGATGTTTTTATTAAGTCTTATGGAGGATCAAAAGTCCGTGAGAATTCTATTAAAGCACTTATTGAAGCTATTCAGAATGCATCATCATTCTGTATGCCAGTTGATTGGGATAGCAAAGAAAAGAAACTCAACCCTCTTATTCTTCACTCTCAATATTTAATGAATTTCACTCCTGGAAATAAACTCTAATTTGATGTAAAAGATTTTTATTTATAATTTTAACACCCATAAATGAGTAAATCTAAAGTTAACAACAATAGTTCAAGTGAAGATGAATTTATTATCCGAGGAAGGCCAAAAACTACTAATTATAACCAAGAATCTGAATTTACCGACGAGGAGTATGGATATAGTGATCAGGGTGATCTCAATCCGTTATTTGAAGAAATTTTTGGGACTGGTAACGAATATAACTATATTTATGATTCTGACGTGAAGGCAGATGAGACTCATGTTATGCAAACATCAGCTGACGTATCAGAAATTGAATGTTGTAAATATGTTAATTATATTTTAGGATTAGATGATGATGAAATTATTAAAAGACTTTACAGAAATGAACCTCCTGAATTTGTTTCATTTCAACTAGGACTAGCAATTATAAAGCAAGTTTATTACGTCAATGAATTAATTAGTGATTATCGTAAATTTTGTGAATTAAAATTAAAAAAACCCGAGTATAGTGTGTGGACATACAGAGCCTTGTTAATGTCTTATAGACCTGTTAGTGATCTTGAAATACCAGGATTACTTGATATTTCAAAATATTTAAAAAACTTATCTCTAAAAGAAAAAATTTATGAACCAGAAGGGGTGTTGGAAAATAATTTTGAGCTCACATCTGATTTTAATAATGCAGTGAACCAATTATCATCAAATCCCTCATTTGTGGATATTGTCTATTCAATATATGAAAAGAAAATTATTGAGTTCCCAGAATATGATAACCTTAAAATATTTGAAAATATAAAGTTAAGTAATGATCTTTCTAATTTAATAAGATTTTATTGTGATTCAAAGAAAGGATTACATGAGAATGAAGTTAGGAGCAAAGTAATATTTAAAGCATTTGAGAGTATTAATAATAACTGTTTCTTCAGATTGAGAGAACAACTAGTCAAATTAGGTATAATCGAAGGAATGGCTGGTTTACAGGATGTTAGTAATATTTTGGTAAGCTTAAGGGGTAAACCTGGTCCTTATGTGGGTATTTACTTAAATAACAAATTTACTTTCCTTGTTAAGATTAATGAACATGGTGCTGTTGAAACCTCTAAGTCTCTTCATAGTTATGAAATAGATTTGATCAATGAGTTTATAGGTGATATTCAGAATATTGTTATAACCTCTAATACACCTCGTGTAAAAAATTTAATTTCAAATATTCATAACAATGTTTATTACGTTCCTAAAAAGTTTTGTATTTTCAAGCCAGAAAAAGACTTTGAAGTTGCTATTGAAATAGCCCAATGTATTCAAAACCCTGTAATATACTTTTCTAGAGCTATTCATGAAAATATCTCATTTACTTTACTATACAACATACCTATTAAACATGAAATTTTAGCTAAAGCGATTTGTATAACCGCTGCTAGTGAAAAGCTTGATTGGGTTAGTACACTTAAACACCCATATGGTTTTAATTTTTTTAAGATTCTTGGTATTACTTTATCAGATAGAAAGTATGATTATGATGTTCCAAGTACACTTAAGTCATTAGAAAATGTATTTACTTTAGATGAAATTAACAAGATATTTACATACTTTAAACTAAATGATTCAACCAACCTTCTTGATTCAACTAATCTTCATCCTGTCAATTATGAAGTTTTTAAAGTTATTGCTGAAGTATCTCAGGGTAAAGAAACTAGTACATTAGATGAACAAGTGATTATCAAGAATATTTTAGATAATCCAGTAATATTAAATAATCTGAATGTAAAAGAAATTGCAGTAGAAGGATATACACATCCGGATGTTGTTAGAAAAATTGCCCAGTCAAAACCTTGTTATTTTGATGGCGCACCCGATAAAGTAATATTTGAAGATGTTGTTCCACAAATTATAGATTTGAGTGATCTTAATACAAGAAAAAACCTTGAGATGAAAGGATTTGTAATAAAAGTTAATCCTGATTCATATTTAGTTAATGTTGATGGAGCAATTGTGTTTTGTATGAAGTTAGTTAAAGTTGAACTTAATCAGATGGTTAAAGTAAGAATTATATCAGTTAATTACTCATATTTAAGTTATCAAGGTGAAATTCTCTCAGATAATACAGGAATGTACTATTACAAAGAACATAGATTTTACACAGAATTAAGTAATAGAGAAATAAGAGATGCGAGGGTACCAGTGTCTATTAAAAGTAGTTCTGTACCGGGACATTGTTTAGTCATAATTCACATACAAGATGATATTTTTTTACTTATAAACTTTCTGAAAGAGAAGAAAAAGATAAGAAAATTTATGAATTGTTGTTTTGTGATAGGTTAGC